TCAGTAACAAATTAGAAACTCATTGTGACAGGAGAGCTTGTTGATGCCCATTACAGTTTTTCAAATCGCAGAAGGTGCCTTGATAGAGCTATTGTCATTTCTTGCTTCACGTTTATTTTTGAATGATATTTGGTCTTTATTAGGGCGATAGCTGGAAACCAAGCTTCGGGCAGATAGGATATTGCAAAGGGAATGAGGATCCATAGAGCTTTAGAACTTAGAAGTTGATTGAAATTCATAAACTCTCTTTGTCTTGTGAGTGAAAAGAATCTTGGATTAACATAAATTTCTACATTATCTTCCATAAAGTATTTTGCAAACCAGTCAGTGAGCTTTTAAAGGTATTCCATGTAAAGCAGCAGCAATTCCTGTAGAATGAGGACTTTATTAGAACTTGCGTATTGGCACAATGTAGAAAAACTGTCATGAGCACCATTGTCATTTTTTTTTTTTTTTTTTTTTTTTTTTTAATCCCACTACTGCAGCTGTTTCCTAAATGCTGAAACCTTTTCTACAAGTTTCAAGATGTGCATACATTGTCTTGTTGTAACAGACTCAAGAACTTAAGTTTGTCAAAAAAGTTGCCCTAACATGCTCGTGTCAGCAGAAAGTCTCATTCGGCAAAATTCATAGAGCGATCGCATTACCTTCCTCTAGCAGAAAAGTGTGAAATTCTTGATACAGTCCAATCACACGAGACAGGACGTTGTTAAGTGAAAGAAATCGTAAACTGCAATAGCATAGCATAGCCGTGTGTGCACCTTTCATATCCTTGCACAGTTTTTTGAAGAAAACCTGCTTGTCTAGTTTTTATGTAGTTCCCTACGTCTATGGCACATTCTAATGCCATACTCAACTGAGGGCTAAGTGACTTCGATGCTAATGGATCCCAGTATATAATGTAGTGGGTCCACACAGCATGTGGTGTTTCACTGTGAATAAATACCTGCAATCCTGCATAGTGACCGTACAATGACCGAGTACCATCAGTACATACACAGATGCAGCTTTTTCCAATCTAAATCATTTTCCATTATAAACTCATGAAGCATTTTGAATAAGTCTTGAGCCTTTGCACTTCCAATGATGCTCTTACAGAACAGAAGATCTTCACATTATCATCCAGGAAGTGTACATAATGTATAAGATTTGCAACTTTATTACTGTCAGTAGCCTCGAGATTCTGAGCAATACATAGAATTCTTTATACATACAACCTATACATTGAATTCTAATAGTGTTGTTGAGTACAAGTACCTTAGATATGAGTTTCTGCACCATAAGAATAACTATGTCAATAGCAGCTCTTCTGCAATAGTGTGAGGTTTTTTGCACTTCATCACTCACCTTGAAAGACACTAGCTGCAAGTTACTCGGAACTGACACTTGTTTAGTGAACACACCGCTATGCTTTAGCTTACTTGGGTGCATACATCTGCCATTGTTGTTTACTTCTACTTAAGTAAAAACAAAATCAAAGTAGTTAATTTAATCAATATTTTCTTGTAGTTATGACATTTTTGCCTCTTTTATTCTTCACCAGTTGTCGAAGCCTTGATACTCAAACTTGTACTGTCCTTACTATCTGTTTGCTTTCTTAGTAAAAATCTTTTCATTTTGTGAATTATCGGTATGAATTCTTCAGGTTTTTTTTGCAATATTTCGTCAAGATCACGACTTTTCTTTTTTCCCCTGTAGACATATAAGATTGTACGACCTTCAACAATCGTTTCTGAGTTTGATACTGACAGTCGCAAACAGAAAAAAAGAAATGCCAACAGATTCCACTACTGAGAAGCCAAATGTAGCAGTCATGTTACAGGAAATAATAGGTGCAAAAATATATGAGAATAATCGAGTACAATCCGACGCAACAACATAGAATTATTGCAAACTGAAAGAACTAAGTGACAGAATAAAGCCCTTTAAAAATTGAGAGCAAGAATTAGTTTAGATCAGAGTTTCTTAAACTGTGGCAAACTGTTAGCAATTTTAACATCTCTTTAACTTATTATAATTTTACAATTCCCAAATATTTTTACATAATGCATCTGAAAATAGGTAAAAATAAGACAATACAGGCAAAGAAAAAAATGAAAAAGTTTTGATGCATTTTTTTTTTATAATAGAAACATCCATTTTACTTTAAAACTTAAAACTAATGACCTAAAACTGCAATAGTTTATTACATTACAAGGAAAGAAACTGACAGTTTCACTCATATGTGTGTCGGATTTGCCCAATACTTATGGGGTCCAACAAAATTTTCGTAACTATTATGGGGTCCCCACACCAAAAAGTTTAAGAAACTCTGCTTTAGATTAAAAGGAGAAATAAACATGTTAAAAATATAATTTAAATGGAATTTAGGTGACCAACTGAAATATAAATACTGAGAAAAATTTAAGGAACTATTATTTTAAGAAATAGAATAAAATTAATGAAATATAATTAATAAAATGTATGGGTGAGCTTTCAATGCAAGTCTTGCTTCTACCTGAAGCAAGGGAAAGGCGCTTCTTCGTGCCTCTGGGCTTACATCAGGGCGCCGTGGCACACACTTTGGGAACCCCTGCCATAAAATATGACAGTTTTGGAAAGCGTACTCTTTCAGCAAAAATATTAATTAAACCATTACCATCAAAAATGTCGAACTGTAGAAAAGATATTTCCACTAATTTTGTTCAGATTCCTTTTCCTTTATTATAAAATGCAAAAGTAAAGGGAACATTAAAGATTCCAAGTAGCCTTTAAAACTGAACTTTGCCATATCGAAATTGAATATCATATTTTGTAATGCACATTTAGAGAAAGTATTTTTAATAATAGCTTTGGATTTTGTGCATTTAAAGCAGAATATTATGTTCAAAACAATTCTAGAATTAAAGACTGAGTGGAAAGTTAAAACATGATTAGATCAGTAACAAGATGAATTCTGAGGTATAGTGAAATTCGCTAAGTTTCAAATATTTGTCGCTTGCTTTAAATTTTCTATTACAGTTTCTAGGTTATTTTTCATACATGTCTTTAATATTGCCTTCATTGCAGTTTACCTAAGACATATAATGCAAAGTTTTCATATTTCAAAATCTAAACCAAAACTTTTAACTGAATTGTCTGTTAAAATTTCAAAACAGGTCCAGTGAATATTTTATAGACTTTTGGAATGTGGAAAAAGAACAGCTTTCTAAGCAACATAAAAGTTGCTGTCCTTTTATCTGTCTGTAGCTGTAAGCACTATTGACGCTAAATGATTTTTTTTTAATTGAGAAGGGTGTTAAAGGGAAAAGATTGTATTAAAAAATAATTTGGTGTAATCTGTAGCGTATCAGATATCATCCACTTTAAAAAATCTTGATGGTATATAAAAATTTGACTAGTTTATAAATGTGAGTATTGTTTCAAATATAATGCATTACTCATTTAGTTGCATAATAATTATTTCTATTACTATTTGCGCATCTAATACTCCCATCCCCCTTTCAAGAAATGTAAATTAAGTGTTGGACTGCAAAATTTTTGCTTCATTTTTTTCTGTAAAATTACTGTCTTAATTGTACGTAACAGTATGTCAACAAGGAACAATTTCAGCTAAAACGTCATTTGTTCAAAGAAAAGTGCATTCGGAATATTTTAATGTTATTTCTGAAGAAACAGCTGAAGTGGCAGTCTTGTCGTATCTGTACTGACATGTTTCAAGCTATTATACCTTCTTCAAACACTGAAAATTCAAGTCTTTTATGCACTATCTTTTAATTTTTTAACAACTGGATTAAAATGCTATATTGTAATTGATATATTTATAGTTAAACTTTTGTACCACTACAAAACAGTCAACTTTTCCTTCCTCACAATATAGTCTCACTGTTAAAAATTTATTTTTTTAATAAAAGGGCAGTACTTTTATTGTTCCATCACTAAATCATTTGTGGGACCAGAAGCATATATGTCTTTTACTATCTGTAGCAGTAATGCATTAATCGACCCTAAAAACACATTTTTAAATGTTTTGTCACTAAAATTATTTCATTTTCCTTTTATATACTTGTTTCTTCTAGTATCTTACAGAAATCCCATGATTGTTGAAATTCTTGTCTTTATCTCAGTTTTGAAGCCTATAGCATAACAGAAACCCATTCATTTTTGGTAACATAACAGCTTTGGTTCTAATAAGCAGACAGCTCTGCTGAAATTCCTAATCCTTCAGGGGAGCATTTTGCTGTGCCACCAATTGATTATTCTTCTTTCAGATAATTTTATGCTATTTTATTTATTTTGGACAATATTTGGTATTTTATTTCAGTTTGAATTCACTTAAAATGAAATTTAATCTTAAAAATCAATGCTGTTGGTACTTTGTTAACAAGAATTTTCTATACAATTACTTCCACGATTTTAAATCTTTAAGAATGCTTAAAATTCAGTACACTTGGTAACTTCTTTATTCAAATAAAGACACCAGTGGTTATAAAGATTTAAAATTTGTTTTGTGCTATTGAATGCTTTTCTAGTTAACCAGAAAATTATCATAGAGATTTTATAATCAAATCCTATGATAACATATTGCATTTTACTTAATCCTTATATACATTATAAACAGTTTGGGCCTGGAATGTCAACATTTTAAGAAATGTGTATTATGCTTTGACAGATTTTAAAAATAGACAATTTAAATATATCTGAAGCTATTGTTAACCTATAATGCAAAGGAAATCAATCCTGAACTTATAGCTTCAATAAAATTATCTAGGATTTCTTTTTTTAAGTGATCTTATAAACCCATTTATTCTTTTAAATCAAAGTAGTACCCTAAGTTAAATTTTTTTATCTTTTATTGACCTGACTACTGTTTTTAACATTTATAAACTACAGATGGGTTTTATATTTAGCCATCTATATTTTTTTATGATTTTGTAATCTTTTATATGTCTTCTAGCATTGCAGTTTTATTTTAATTTTTACATAATCTCATTATTTTAATTTTTATTTGTTTTGTGCAGCTTCTAAGGCATAGGGCTTAATTAAAAGAAGTGAAACGAATACCTCAACACTTATGTTTCATATGAAAAGGTAAAAATTGCTCTATAAATCTTCAGTAAGAAACATGATAAAATATAATTTGAGTTAATATTAAATAATACGTTTTTTGTTGTTGTTGTTAAATTTCAGTCAAGGCTTGAGTAGCTTATAGATGTTAAATTTCGCAAGAATTGCTACTGAATATTTTCTATTCTTCATTTTCAGAAGCCTCATCATGCGTATTGCATTGAATGTCCCTTTATAAAGATATTTTATATTCTTTTCTGTTTTTATTTCTGTTTTACTTTCTTCCATTCTATTAGTAATGGATGTTTATTGATGCAAAAAAAAAAATGTTGTAACTGCCTTTTGTTGCTAAACTACTTTATTTTTTCATCTGCTAAACTTAAAAAAAAAAAAAATAAAAATAAAAAAAAAAAAATTCTGAATCATATCCAGCATTTTCCTGTTTGTGATTATGCAGGTATATTAATTTTTCTAGTTTCTTTCATTAAATTCATAATAAGCAGATAGAAAATGCAAACGGGGAAAAATATAACTCAGTTTACAATTAGTGCATTTGTGTAAAAATCTGAAGTTATGAATTATGTATATTTTTTTTTCAGGTGATTCTAAGCAAATTATTGTTTTCATCTGATAATGGCATCAGTATGGACTATTGTAATCCTAATGGCTTTTATAAAGAATATACATTTATTCTCAGATGCTTTTCCATCGAAGACTGATTACTCGGTTGCTGGTGATTTTGAAAATTTTCCAAAACAAGAATTTGAATTACAAAATGTTTGCCCAAATAACTGTGCCTGTCATTATTTGAAACAGCATTTAGTTATCAGCTGTGATTTCAAAAAACTTTCTTATTTCCCTCAAAATTTACATTCCTCTGTTTATCATCTCAATTTAGCTGGAAATGAAATTTTCAATTTATCTTACACAACTAGCTTAAATGGTTTAAATATTCTCAATGTTTCACAGAATAATGTGCATGAAATAAACAGAAATTGGCTAAATTCACTTCAAAATTTAAAAACTTTAGATTTGTCTAGAAATGCACTGCCTTCAGATGCTATTGAGAAAGCATTTAGTAATCATAACCTTCTGTATTTGAATTTAGCTAGTAACAAACTACATGTTATAACTGAAGTTATGTTTCATGAGATAAATACATTATTAACACTTAACTTAAGTAGCAATGAAATAGTAAATATGAGTTATAATAGTTTTTGGAGTCAGAAAGAACTAAATGTTTTGGATTTATCATCAAACAAGCTAGTAAATATTCGACATGAATGGTTTAAAAATTTGCACAATTTGAAAACATTGATCATGAGGCAAAATAAACTCACATTTCTTAGCAATCTTGTATTCTCGCCTTTGAGTAAACTACATATATTGGATTTAAGCAGAAACTGCATTAAATCTGTTGGCCTTCTAACATTTAAAGGACTTAAAAATCTTCAGTTTTTAAACATAAGTAGCAATAATGTAAGTGAATTACAAAACGGAGTTTTCCGATCTTTGGAATCTCTAAAAACTCTTGACATTAGTGAAAATTCATTTATGAGCATTGACAATATTTTTTTACATACTATCCATCTTCAAACATTATATATGAGAAAACTGAGCCACTTTAAAGAATTAACTTCATCCAGCTTTGCAGGATTGAAAGAAATGAAATCTTTTGATTTATCTGGTTCGGAAGTTGTATCTGTCAATCTAAAGACATTTTCTCATACACCAAATTTAAAACATCTGGATTTAAGTAGTATGCAATTGACAACCTTACAAATGGGAATTCTTAATAATCTGAAAAAAATCGAAACCATTGAATTGAAAGGAAATCCTTGGAAGTGTGACTGTTATTTATATTGGTTGTTACTATGGTTGGGAGAACATAGTAATGCACACCTTTTATCTCCTTCTGAAACATTCTGTCATTCTCCTGCTAATTTAATTGGACATGTTTTACTTGATGCACTGGACCATAACATGATATGCACTAATGCTTCTATTCTTCACTACACTAATAGAACTAAATTCAAAGTAGGGTCACCAGCATATTTAGAATGTCAAGTCGATGGTAACCCACCACCAAATTTGACATGGATAACACCTCAGAAAATGATGCTTCACTGGATAAGCTATAAGAATATCTCTGATCAGATCCCAGCAAGCATTTCATTCCACTCTACTAATTATCAGTTGCTTCAAGGCCCCATTAATGAGAAAACACGACAAGGTCGATTTTTCATAATGCCAAATGGGAGTTTAGGCATTCAAAATGTTGAAAGAGGAGATGGTGGGTTTTACGTATGTGTAGCATCCAATCCTTTAAATTATGATTCAATATCAATTCGATTAACCTTAGATTATGATTATTTTGAACATATCAAAATTGTTAGTGTGCTTGTTGGCATGGCTACTAGTTTTGGATTTTTATTATTAACTTTAATTTCTATTCTAATTAAGATGATACTGAAACATTTTGGTATCAAATGTCCTTGTCGAAGTGGAAGTGCATCGCCCCGAACACAGCAAATTAAAAAAATCCTTGAAAATATGGAACACTATAAGAAACAGCAATTGGATCGCTTGAGAGACAATTATAATGTTCAAGTTCAACGGATAAAAGATAACTGTATGCAGCAAATGGAGCGTTTGAGGGAAAGTTACTCATCTCAAGCTGAACGTTTGCGAGATATTAAAGAGTATGGTACTCTTCAAATTGATCGCATTAGAGAAAATTACTACTCTCAAGTTCAGAGAGTTCGTGATTATAGTGCTAGTCAGATAATTAGATTACGTGAAAATTACATTTTTCAGAGAAATCGAATAAGAAAATTTAGTGCACATCACTTGTATAAATTGAGAGAGAATTATAAATTGCAGCAGCAACATTTAAATAAAATCCTTGAAAATTTAAACATAGAAAGTTGTCGAAATGTTTGTCAAAGAACCGATTCAGTGATCTTTGAACCTGAAATAACATTAGAAAATGTTTTAGTGCCAAAAATATGCCTTCAGACATTTGTTAAAGAAACTTGTGATTCAAATGATAATTCTAGTCAAGTGTCAGCTTATTTCACTCCTGATGATATTGGCTCTGAAATTTCCAGTCATGAAAGTGATGAACATGAAAGCTTAGATATAACTGCTGTTCAAACTGTGTCAAAGACAGACACTATTGTAAAACTGGATAATAAAGAAATAGATAACATTCCGAGTACAAGTTCACATTTAGATACTGTTTGTAATCAGAAGTCTTCAAATGAAACATTGGTTTAGTAATATTTTGACAAACTTTTATGTGTTTGGGGAAGTAATTGTGTAAAAAATAAAGCTGGTAATGGTAGATTTTAAGTTACCGTAAGAGTAGATGTGTTCCAAATTAAGATTCTGCAATGTTGTAAATTTTATGGAGTATTGGTTGCATAAGTTAATTGTACAAAATTGTATAGTCTGTTTGTGTTTATTTGTTTATCTTAAATATTAAAAAATTGAGTTCTAGATTAAAAGTATGAGTGAGTTTTTACGATGTAAACAGACTGAAATTTTGAAGAGAAATACAGTAGCTATATGATTGTACACATTTACTTAATATTTATTGATAAGTTCATATTGGTTACTGTGGGTCAGGTATGATTGATTCTAATGAAGACACATACTATGCTAGAAGTCCGACTATGTGCAAGTCTTAAACATGATGGCCTTAAAATTAAACTTTCAATTAAATGGCCACAAGTAGGAAACTTATGTATGTTCTCCAAAAACGAATGCAATCCATTATGCAGAGAATCTCATATAAGAATTTATTCCTAATGTTATATGACTTAATGCTTCTTGTAAGTTTTAAATGTTAAAAGCATTAATCTGAGCAGTTGTTTTCAGGCATCAGAATTATCACATAAAAAAAAGAAACAAACTGTCATATGCATTCATTCTTAAGAATTTCATTGAATATATTTGTAATTTCATAAACTAGTCTTTGTAATAAAATATTTCTCTATATTATTTTGTTGTTTATTTCACGTCTTTACATTGTTTTGTTTGCTTTTGTGTGCCAGTTTTAGTCAATATTGCTTTAAAAAAATTGGGCACTATATCTTAATGCCAACATAAGTGTAAATAACTTCAAGTTACTGCACTTTTTGTTTTTTTTATGTATTTATTCAATATACAGTTCGAGTGCTAGCTCAATTCTGTATTTAGTGATAATTTTACAGGATATCAGTTTTATGTACATTCATTTCTTTTCTAAAACGTCTTTTTGCTTCAAAGATGTGTTTGCTTGTTTCTGGAAATGAAAAAAAAAAAAAAAAAAAAAAAAAAATTTAAAATGTAAAATGAATAGATTATTATTTTTAACTGTTATAAATAAAGGGAATGCAATACAATTAGTTATGAAATTTTAGCCGTTTCAAGTTATAGAATTGTATTTGTTTCAGTTACGCTGTTACATCATAGTGTATACAAATAAGTATATTGTGCTTCTCTTTATACACTATAATATTAAATATTTAGTATATGTTTTAAATTTTGAATTGTAACTCACATAATGTTTTTAATAACATTTTATGCACATAAAAATAATTATAATAAGTTTTTTTTAAATTACAAAATATGCACTTGAGAGCAAATAGTAGATCTAGTTCAAACGTAAGATGAATGGATTACTAGAATTATTACACAGATAGTATCACTGCAGGATAACAATCATTCATTATATGGAATATATGAGTGTAATTGTGTGATCCAGAAAACTAACCTTCATATGTTGCAGATGCTGAATATACGTATTTTTTGGAAGCATGTCTCAGAAATTTCAATTATCTATTTCAAACATGGTAACTATTAAATAAATGATGAAATAATGAAAATTGAAGAAAAAAAATGCAACACCACCAAGTAACAGGAATTTTAAGAAAACTGAAGTAGGTACTGATGATACACTTGAAGTTGCAACAGTGATAACAAAGCTGATAATTTTGTAGGTGTAATGTACGAGAAACATTTTAAGAATGATGTTGAATTCTTTGTTAGAGCTGAGATGGGGCATACTTTCATGATATAAGTGGTACAATACTCGGGTATCTAGAAACAGAATGAATATGTGTAATTTTAACCCATTGTGGTGCACTATACTTTAAAGTCAGAATTTCAACAAACAAAGTTGTATGCAGTCTATCTAGGCTTAAAGGAGTATACAAGTAAAATTTTGTATAAATTGCACTTACCGTTTTAATTCTGTGTGTGTTCCATGAGGTGAAACACTGCGCCGCCAGAGATTTTAAAAGTGTGACTAAGAGAGCATTGCAGTGAAGCATGGAAATGAGTAGGAGCGTTTTTATAGTAATGAAAAAACACTAATATGGTTGTATACATGGTTTTCTGGATATACACAACATTCTTGAATAAATAAGATAAATATATGTATATACACAAGTCCTATATGCAAAGATATTTACAAATTTTTTGATTTCTTAGCTTTGTGAAATTGTTCAAAGCATGTCGCACCTTTTTGATAGAAGCTCAAACCAACTTTGCAGGTTTTGAACACAAAGCTTTTTTTGTGCGGCTTCTTGTTCCGTGCAACAGTATGTTTAGAATTCCAAGTAAAAACTTCAGGCTGCATGGACCTGAGTAAGATGGATCATCAACTTTCTCATCAAATAAATGAGTTTAATCTGACATATCACAATAGGATTACACAGGTGACGGAGAACGGGGACGCCTGGTGTTTAACATAGCAAGTGGTTCAGGAGCATATATATCAGTATCGCTGCTGTCTTCATGCTCTGATTCAGAATAAGAGGGTAATTCATGAAGCACTTTTAGCGCTTTGGAAAGAGTTAGACCTCTCCGCGTCATTTATGGAAAATTAATAATAAAAAATTAACTACAATTAAAACTAACAGTAAAAAAAAATAAGATATACATACACAAAAAAAATATCCTCACAGTTATTGAAAATAAACGGGAATGAGACTAAAAAGTGGCAGCAAAAAATTCCCTCAGCTCTAAGTAAAGATGACTCGAGCTACTGATAAAAATCCCACCTGAAAATTACTCACAAAAATTTCAAGATGACCATATTAGGGCCTTAATAGCACAAACCACACCTCACCCCTCAAGACTTCAAGACTTCTTTGTTTGAATTCATTTCCCTCCAAACAACGGAAATAGAAAACATATACAACAGATGTTGTGATGCGTAATAGCATGAGATCGCTAAAGGCGCAGTGTTCCCTTTAATGGAACACCCCGTTTTATTTAATGATTCTGCGCATGTTTTTTGTATGAAAAATGTAAAAAAATATATAACAAAAAATACAGAGTACAGCCATCAAAACTATACAGAAATTGTTTTTCAGACAAATTTTTTTGTATCACCAAAAATATAGAAAATTACTAGTAAATAAGTGGAATCTAATAACTTGTCATAAATGAAAATTCAAAGTCTCCTTGTGATATACTGCCATTGACTATTTAAAAAGTGAAGTTCGAAGTATATTATAACATCATTTTTATCCATTTATGGTTGAATTTAACGATTTCAGAAGCGATTCAAGTTGGGTGTGCCATGTAGTAGAACACTGAGCAGCAAAGGGTTAATAAAATAAACCTTTGGGTAACAATTGCTGGCAAGCCATTATTTGTGATTTAACATAATTTTTAACTCGTATTTCTGAACCTATAATGTGTGTATCCCCATATACTTGTTTGTATTTATATTCTAATTTAATAAATCTGTTAACTGGGTATGACGAAATTTTTCGTCTTGCTGAGAAGATTATTTCAATGGGTAAGACGAAATGTTTCGTCATGCTGGGAAGATTATTTCAATGGGTATGACGAAATGTTTCATCATGCTGGGAAGACTATTTCAATGGACATGACGAAATTTTTGTCATGCTGGGAAGACTATTTCAATGGGCATGACGAACTTTTTCTTACATTTTTTTGCAATTTGTCACTTGACCGTTGTTCAAGAAAAATCGATCAATAGAAACACTTGTCCGCTCATAAATTGTGATAACACTCCTAATTTGCACAACTTAATTTCATTTTAGTCTGCATTTCAGGATTTTACATATTAGTAATAAACTTGTTGATTTGAGTAATTGTTAGTTTTTTATAAATATGGCTAAAAAATTATTGTGAAGCAAAAAATATTTTTGAATTGTCTGAAAGTGACGATGAAATATTGCCCGGGAGGTTTGGTAAACGACGTCGAATTCTAAGAATAAGTACCAGTTCGGAAGAAAGCGATAACGGACTTCTTTACTGATGGTCCGGACATTGAATCAAAGGATGATGATGTTATAGACCAAAATACTCAACCGACATCAGCTGAATGGAAATGTGAAAGAATATTGCGATCGCCTTTCCCGTTTTTATCTCAATCTAGACTTACATTTGAAGGACCTGAAGAAAAGGATGAAGAAAAGGATGCCTTTTTATTTTGAGAAATTTATCGATGAGAATTTTGTAGAATTATTGTGGAACTTATTGTGGAACAACCAAACAAATACGCCGGACAGTTTTTTTGAAAAAAATACTTCCATGAAACCGCGTTCAAGATGTCTCTCGTGGGTTGACACAGATGACCGAGAGATGAGAGTATTTATTTTTTTACTAATTTTGCAAGGAATAATAGGAAAACCTTCTTATCAGCTTTATTTCACAAAGCGAGAAAGTCTGGAGACTGCCATTTTTTTATAAAATTATGTCAGAAAAAAGATTCCAACTGTTAGTAAAATTTTTACATTTTAGTGATAACAATGCTTTCGATCTAAAAGTGTGCAACAAAAAAACCTACAAAATCGATTCCATTTTGAACTATTTAAGAAACAAATTCAAGGTGTTATACGTACCAGATAAGGAAATATCTGTAGATGAGTCTCTTTTGCTATGGAAAGGAAGACTGTCTTGGAAACAGTACATTCCATCGAAAAGAAGTCAATTTGGTGTTAAATTGTATAAGATATGTGAAAGTAAATCCGAATACATAAGTGTTTTCATTATATATACAGGTTAAGACACGCAGTATGGTTCGAACTATCCAGAAGAACAGGGACCAAATCCAAATCGTATTGTTCTTGAATTGTGCCACGATTTGTTGGATAAGGGATATACGCTATATCTCGATAATTGGTATACTAGTACTGATCTAGCTGAGAAGATGTGCAGAAGAAAAACTGATGTTGTAGGAACAATGCGAAAAAATAGAAAGGGAATACCATCTGATATCAAAAATTGTGTTTTGAAAAAAGATGAACATATTGCTAGGTACAGAGACAAAATAATGATTATGAAGTGGAAAGACAAAAAGGATGTAATTATATTGAGTACTATCCACGACAATAAATTTGTAGAAATAGGAAAACGATATCAAAACCGGAAGTTATCGCTGACTACAACAAAAATATGGGAGGAGTTGATCTTGCTGATGGACAAATGAAAACTTATGAAATCTCTAGAAACCAAGTAAAAAAGTATTACCATAAGATATTTTTACATGCACTAGACATGGTGTGTTTGAATGCATATCTTTTTATACAAGAAAGATGGCGGTCACCTAGATAGGCTTCATTTCCTTATCGAAACTGTAGAAAAAGGTGTTGAAAAATATAGAGACGAATCGTAGTTGCCATCTACTAGAGGACGATCATCTTTGACACCAAAACCATCTCGACTCTTTGAAAGACATTTTGCAGACTATATACCATCCGACTCCTCAAGAGTAAATGTAATGAGGAGATGCAAATTATGCTATTCCAAAGGTCTTAGGAAAAGAATCGAGAT